ACTATTGAATTGATACCTGGTGTTGATGTTTGTTTATTGATCTAATTGACATAGACATTGTGAAGATAGCAAATGATATAGCTTTGGGTGATTCATATTTACCAATCTACAAAATGATGATATAAAGTACAGTTCATGGTTGCTGAAAGAAGGTAGGACGTTGTGTTTCTCAATAAAAAGGTATAAGGAATGAAATTACATTCTATTAAAAAAAAGGAAGTAAATCTGAACTTACAGGTGGTTGTTCTCTGAATGGGCAAATAAAGTGATGAATAAAAAAATATAAAAAAGGTTTGTGGCAACTGAAAGAGAGTTTTGTGCATGATTCAAGTTCTTAAGACGTTAAACTGCCTTTGAAATCTTTTATTGTTACTTCGACTAAGTGAATAACTCTTGTTTCACAGTGAGTATAAGCTGGTACCAATCTGGAATTTGGTTTTCTCTTCCTGATAAAAGAACAAAGTTTTCTTGGAATGTGGCTTTTGATAACAGACTATGGCACACATAGACAAAGCTCATTCTGCTTCTACAAAAATTAACCCCTCATCAGGGCATTTTAAATAGATGAACAATGGCTGTAAACCAAATAGTTGGGGCTATGGGAAATCCAGGATGACTGCTTAGCTTTTCCTGGCTCCCTGACAAACCTCACTTTTATTTGATAACATAAACCCTTTCCTGGCTTCAGGGTTAATGTCTCACAATAGAAAAAAAAAAGGTTAAAATGTGTTTTCTACAATCTCCAGTGATTGGAGCACCCACTTTGCTGGACAGGTCGTACAGACATTGACAGAAAACTTCACGAACTTCTTGGAGACTGTGGCTTTCACTGGCATCCTCGGTTGTCAGGCAAGGATGGCAGAACAAAGGAATCGGTTACATGGGATTGAACAGACTGCTAAATATGATTGAAATTTTCATGACTTTTTGTCTGACATATTACTGGTTTCTAATCTTTGTTTACAGATATAGAGAAGCTCTTTTCAAGTTACTGATGGTTCAAAACAATTTAGTGATTTACACCTGTGGGTAAAATGATCACATTTTTTCTCTCTGCCTCGTCGCTCCAGAAATTGGAGACACTTGGGTTCTGAACAGCCTTATCAGGTAAATAAAAAGACTGCCTCCCAACACAGGCAGAAATCTCAAAGTATACTGAGAAGGTCTAAAAGAAAAATTCACCCAACTGATGTCAGGCCTAAGGCATCTATTAAGTTAGACTGAATATTAGGTTCTAGTTTTGTTAATTAAGATCTGTATTTACTAAGACTGACTTCTAAGGTAGTTCCTTGTGGTTATGTTATATTGCTAAGAAGCTTAATTAAGTTATTTAAAAGGACACTCTGAGTTTTTTTCTAAAGCTTCTCTCAGTAACCAGCCTTTGATTAAAGATCAGATGCTCCAGGATCTACAACCAGGAGATTAACAACAGGCTATAGTCATTTAGCAAACTAAATCAGATGACATGGATAGTCACTGGGCTATACCTAATAGAAGTTCTTGACTTAAGTACCTACTGATGATTCTACTATTACTTCTAACTATATTGTTTTCTATACTGCCTGTTGCAAGAAGCGTTTCTCCGTACATTATCAAGGGTGTGACTGAGCCACTGATATAATGGTGTACAGTTCCATATGAAATCCATAATTATAACGGTGTGACTCTGTATATGAGAAGCAACAAGACGGACTATTTTCTTGGACCAAGAGACTAGTGGGACAGGTGTTGTCCAGAGACTTTTGTTACTCACAGGGCCTAGTCCAGTAATAAAACATTGAGTGGCCTATCAGTGAAATCTTTGACAGAACTGGGAATGAACCTTCCCAGCACCATGGGACAAGATGGTAATGAAATGCCCCACAAACCATGGTCAAACTCATGGCCATAAAAGGGCCCTGCTCTGGTAACTGGCACTTGCTATCTGCCTCTACAAAGATTAACTCATGGACACTACAGCTGCTGACCTTCAACATCCCCTGAAAGGAGTTCCGGGTGAAAATCAGAAATTAGGCACTCGCTCTGTGCTCTAGAAAAATGGACACAGCAGGCCTTTGGATAGTTAGATATTTTCAGGTAAAGATTTTCCTGAGCCCAAATTCTTGCATCTTCTCATACCTAGAAAAACACTAAAATTGTTAATGGTGACAACTACTTTGGCTTATACATTAATACCACAGTAAGAAGCCAGGGCCTACCTGGACAAACTTTGACAACTGGCTACCTAAAGCACCTGTCTACATTGGGTTATAGACTCATTCACCTGAAACGAAATTATAAGATTTATTTTGTCTGTTAAATTTCAGGTTTTCATTCTTTCAACTACTTCTAACTGGGTTTGTTATACCTACATTCAAAATGTACATGAACACGCCAGATGGTTCCATTCTTATAAATAGGGCAGCCCAAGTGTTGACTCTGTCTAGACCAGGATCAAAGTTACTACCAAATGTAACCTGATTCTTACTCTTGCTTGGACTGCTAGTTACAATAATTCATCTACTGATATTTGGTCTCTGCCTTTTAATCTACTTATCTAGTTTGTTCTTTCTAAAGGATACGATGGCTTCCCAGACAAAGTAACAGTGATGCAGAGATCCTGGTCACTCTTCAAAATGGACTCCCCTGATGTTCCACCATGGTCACAGATACAATCTTGGTTTACAAGCTCTCCTTTGTGAAAAACTATCTTGACTATACTCATTGTAATCATTCTGTTTTTTGCTGTTTGCTCCTTACACATGTAACTGTGTATTTATTACTTGGGGCCCCTGGATCAGAAACCCTAAATAAAAGGGTAAGGAGAATATGTTGTTTCATCAAATTAGGGTCAGTGCCCCTCACCTGCAGGAAGCAGTTACTGACAGATTTCTCTGCCCGTTTCCCCTCAGCAACAATATTCTCCTAAAATAAGGGGGGAATGAGAGAGTTAACTTAGGCAGGTTGATAAGGAGTAAAAGCCTAAGGCCCCTTTAAGGAGGAGATAAACATTTTTTCTTTTTCACATTCTTTGCTTTAGATAGGTAGGCCTCGTAGGCAACAGTATCTCCTATTCAAGGACATGCCTTTTATTTATTTATTTTTTTGAGCTTTGGATGTATGTTATGGGAAAAGGTCTGGGTAAAAACTTCCACAGCTGTAGCTCTGGGTTAACCTGTTCCTTCTGGCTCATCTCGTGCTGATGTCATCCCAGGATGTATGTTACAGGAAATGGTCTGGGAAAAAATCTCGCAGTCTTGAGGTATTTTTTATCTATTCTCAGCAGCTAGTTGAGAAGTGTATAAAGCCTTGCTTAAACTAGTGAGGTGGGTTCTCTCCTCCTGCTCCCTTCTGATGTCTATGTCAGAAGCTTTTTCTGTCACTTTCACTTTAGATAAAATCTACACAGTGCTCCAAGTGACTGAGACTGTCTTTGGTTCTGGAGTTAAATCTTCTCCTTCAGAGACCATGAATCCAGCAGCACCGTTCACCATTTACCATAAGCTATCACAACTCTACAGTCAGTATTCATGTTTGTCTCATGCCAAGCACCACTGAACCTGGAGCATTATATAGACCTTCTTATCAACTCTCTATAGCCATCTAACAGAGAATATTTAAAATGTGATTTAAGGTTATCCTGTCCTATTCAAATTGTGTAAACATTCTCCTTACATAATTTGAATAGGACAGAATCTTTGGGACCCCGTGGACACTAGTTCGCAAGTCTCTGCTATTCATGGAATTTTCCAGGCATGAATAGTGGAGTGGGTTGTCGTTTCCTCCTCCAGGAAGTCTTCCCAACCCAGGGATAGAACCCATGCCTCATGCATCTCTTGCATTGGCAGGTGGATTGTTTACCACTGGGAATGTTTGGGAAGCCCCAAACATTCTACTTAGGCAAGGTCAAATGACCTGAGAGGCTTACCATTTTCAAGGTTTTTTTTTTTCCCCTTGTATTGTACTTTCCTTGTCATTGAAAGGTCCAGACTCTCTCTACACCACATAATTTGTTTAGCATATAACACTTGTCAGTATTTAATATTATTAATTTCCTCAAAAATCGAAATCCATCTCATTCATTCCTCATTTCTTTCACTGTTTAAGTGTGTTACATGCTTAGCTGGTGTCTGGGGCTGATAATCCAAAGCCTTTGCCTCAAACATTCAACACTCTAGTGGTGAAACTAATATAATGAAATAATTGCAGGCTTATGGGGAGAAATGTTGGGTTAAGGTCTGATGGGAGTACAGTTGAGAAAAGATGTATATCTGCTTTGGAAGTGTGAGAAACGGTAGACTTTTAGCCAGACAGCAGACAATGAGGAATGTGCAAGAAATAGGGAAAGTGCCAAAGGGCTCAAGATGCACAAACAGGTGGGGTAGGAAAAAACAAAAAACATCTAAAAGTTCCCAAAGGAACTTAAGATATTCCCCAAAGTTAAGGTTTGTGTACCTATGGAAAATGGAGACATGAGCCTCAAGAAGCTGATATGGACACACACAGTTTTAAATGGTTCTATGACTGGAAATGCTATTTAATAACAAAAGTTAGAGACAAAAGCAAAGACTGGGCAAACATTGCCACTTTTATCACAGACCTAAGAAAATAATTACAGAAATTAAGGTGCATAGAGGACAGAGCTGGAACCAAGATGTAATTATCCAAAAAAAGGAGTGATCACTAATTATTTCAAATGGGGAATAGGAAATTATGTTCTTAAAATTAATGGGGACAATTCATACACAAAGTCCTCTGTTCCACCATTATCCTATGAAGGGAGTCCCAGAGATATCATCCCTGGAGGGAAAGATAGAGTGGAATTCCTGGTACAGAGTGCAGGAATCCTGTGATAGGGAGTGGGAGGGGTAGGGGAAAGCCTAGTGGGAGTGGCTTTGCGTGGGGTCCGTGATGACGTCACAAACGCCAACCGTACCCAACAGCCCCTTCGGCTGAGCTAGTGCCAGCGGCAGCCGCGTCTGGTGAGGAAGCTTGCCCTTTGCGCGCCTGAGGTAAAAGCCATGGGAGCACTAAGTAGTCGGATGTCCTGGAACAGAGTGGAGGAGCCAGGTGCCCCTGAGGGGGAGGAGGAGGCTGAGGAGGTAGCAGTGGCAGCGATAGAGGAAGGGGAGGAGAGTGAAGAGGCGAGGCCCACCACTAGTCAAGGGCGCCACAAGCGGAAGACAGGCCCAGGACGGCAGCTCACAAAAGCGCCCTGCGGGAAGCGAGCAAAAGACAGTTTAGGGTCCGTTTATGAGGCACTTTTCCTGAGAGGAGAAGGGAGTGACGTGCAGATCCGTGCCCTGGGGGAGGAGTGGAACCTGCACAAGGTCAACTTGTGCCAGTCAGGATACTTTGCCAGCATGTTCAGTGGTGCTTGGCGTGAGACAACCATGACTACTGTAGAGTTGCAGATGCCTGACGAGAACATTGATTGTGAGGCACTGCACGAGGCTTTAGGTTCCCTGTACCGAGACTCTGTGCTCATCCCACGGGGTCGAGTGGTCCCCATGCTGGCCACAGCCAGCATGCTGCAGCTGGATGAGCTGATTGAGCAGTGCAGAGAGATCATGAAGGACACCGTCAATGTTCAGACCGTGTGCAGCTACTACTACTCTGCTGAGTGCTACGGACTCCAGGACATCAGGGCCATGTGTCTTCAGTGGCTGCTGGACAACCTGATGACCCGGCATAATGAGGAGTTATTGAGAGAAGTTAGCCTGGATCTCATGAAAGAGGTCATTGCCTCTTCAGAGCTCTTCGTGATGGAGGTAGAGATGGATGTGTACACCACGCTGAAAAAGTGGATGTTCCTGCAGCTGCAGCCGACATGGAGAGGCCCCCACAGAGACCTACTGCCTGACGCCGACTCGTGGTTTGCTGGGTCCAGGCAGGAGTCAGAGGGCACCGCTTTCCTGGAGACCGAGCAGGGCAGAGCCTTCGCGCCAGTGTTCCAGCAGCTGCGGCTTGCCTGCATAATCAGCGACCTGCCATCAGCACGCATCATCGACCAGGATGCGCTGATCCCTGCCACGTGGCTGAGCCCAGTGTACAAAGAGCAGTGGCTTGCCCTCCTCCGGGCTGAGCAGACCAGAGAGCTCGGGCCCACGGATGTCTGCGTGTCCGACCTCCAGAGGACCAGCATGCGGTGCGGGGGCCGGCTCTACAGGGATGAGCAGTGCAGCTGGCGGTGGGCAGGCTTCAACTTCGGCTGGGACTTGGCGGTGTACTATGCCAACCGGCGCATCATTTTCAAGCACAGCGCGCTGAACAAGTCTGGCGGCCTTGCGGTCAGCTTACTCTGGCAGAGAAAGGTCGCGTTCCGCCTGCGCCTGGCCTCCTTGGACAGGGCTGGAAGAGCCATTCTCCGGAGGGAGACAGAATACCAGGTGCTTTCCCTGGGAAAGGATGAAGAGCTAGAGGTAGTGAATCTGGAGAACGAACATGTGGTTTTCCCCATATATGTGACCTGTAGTTTCCTGTACCTCCCCAGAGAGGGGCGTTTTCCTGAGTGAGGACCCCTGAAAACAAAATCTCAGAGAGGTGAGCAGCTCTTTTCCTGGGGTCAGGGGCGACCAGCTTTGTCCAGATGCCAGCTCCTTCTGCGGGACCAACCGGACTTGCCCACCTCTGGTGGCCCAGTTCTGTCAGAGTCTTTGTTGAACTGTAGCGCATGATATTTGAGATTGTTTACCTGAGCCTATGAAGAAGAGAAATTTTAAAGCCCCCCTCCCCCAACACCTTTATAACTTATTTGTGCTGTTAAGGTGGCAACTTGTCCTCCTGGTTTACCATCCATCAATGCCCCCTCCCATCATTTCTGCAAAGTCAAAGACCAGTTGACTTTAGAGAGAACCTGTGAACCTACCTACTCTACTACTGTTAGTGAAACTCTTTTAAAATATGCATTTCCTTTAGCGTTGATTAAATGAATGTTAAAGAAACAGTTTGGTTTCTCTTTCAGTTCGTGTGTTTAGAGCCACTCTGCCCCACTCTACCATTACCACTAGCAACCACCACTACCGCTAGCATCCTTTGGATTGCTTCCCTTGCCCCATTTCTTGCCACTGAGTGTCGTACTTGGTTTCCATGATCTCTCTCTATGTGAACACACCTAGGCTACACTGATGATCTTCTCTTTATTGGTGGTTCCTCAATATTCTCAGGTTAGTTGACTTTATATCATATCTTGATGTTAGTTAGACTTTATTTTGACTGTCCTAGCATTTTAACCCTAGAAAGACATTTCAAATCTTATACAACCCTATATTGGGGGTGGAGCGGAAGACAGCAGATTGATTCTATGAGGACATCTCCGTACTAGGTAGAGTTTTTCTGTGGCATACAGTCATGAATTATTTATGCACCAGAATGCACTCTTTACACACGTTGATGGCCTTTGCCCTTCAGAAACATTTGATGTTCGAATTGTACTTGGAAAGACTCTTTCCAGCTTAAAAACAGGTCTGGTAACCTCTGGAAAGGAATGCTTTTGAATTATAATGGGAATTATTTGGCATCTGGAAGTGGGATCAAAAGACAAGACGTTCACACTAGTAATCAAAAGGGTAAGATAAAAAGTGTTTTTGTCACAAAAGGAGAAGCACACTAGTCACGATTTGAATTTGTTGGTTTCTGATTACTGTTAACTTGCAAATTGTCACCATCCCATTCCCTCCTTCAATGAAATGTTATTTTGAGGTCAAAGAATGGAAAATTCTATTTAAGAATCCATACAAATAATAAATACATGCTTGGAAAGAGTGTGATAAAGTAATACAAGATGAACAAAAAAAAATTAGTCACCAGATTTACTGTTTTACTTGGTTGAAATCAGAATTTTCCTTACCGGTGGTTTGTTTCTCTTCCCAATTAGATTTTATCCCTTGTCATTCAGTGAACAAATTACTTTTGACTTTATTCATTCATTCATTCTTTTTTTACTCTTTAAGGAGATTTGAAAGGCTTCATTATCCCAAACCCACATACTAGTATTAGAGTAATAGTTACATGACAGTTAGTTATATGAAATGGTTCAATCAGGAAGCTGCTGTTGCATCCTTCGATGTTTGCCCTTAGTTTTGCATCCCCCCTACCCTTTCTCGTGTTCCCTTATATTCCGTATACCTAACCAACTACAAACAATAGACTTCATTTTATTTATTTTTTTAAATAACTGGGGAGAAGAGTAAGTCATGATTCAGTTGAAAGGTAAAAAGTATTTTTTTTTCTTCAGTAAAAATTTCACTTTCTTTATTGCTCTCTAAGCAATTTGGGATTACTTTTTCTTGAGCTGAATGCCAAGATGCCATTTCATCTAAACAGAGGTATCCTCACTTGGGAAATTCAGAGACTACTTAGCTACAAATATACCTTGACTGAAAGATCTGCTTTTGTTTTCCTACCCAATTAGCTTTAAATCCTTAAATTGCTTGTTGCTGTTTACAATGGAAAGATGTTCAATAATGCACAGTGACAGCTGAAATATACTCATTTAAACATTTAAACTCTCACAAACCCTGACTGTTGCCATTTGCCAGTTTGGGCAATTTATCCAATACCTGTCTCTAGTTTTTCACTTTTTTTTTTCTTTTCTTTTTGACTGCTCAGGATGAGGAAGAAAGCATTTCCCACATTGATACTCATTTTGTTAGCCTCTTCGTAAAGGCATGGGGAGATGGGGCGGCAGCACAAAATGTATAGTCATGGTAACGCTACAGGAAACCATCAAGCTAAATAACAGCAAACTAAACGCCACACTAAAGGAGATGTACCCCTATGGGATACCACGTGGTCCTTGACAATGATGAGGATTTATCCCTGTCTCTGTCTTTCCCTCTCTGTATGTCTGCCACTCTCTCCGTCATCCCCTATCTCTGTCTCTCTTATGTCTGTCTGCATCCCTGTCTAATTTCTATCTACCTCTGTCTTTGTCTACCTCAGTCTCCATCTCAGACTGCCTATCTTTGTCACTCTCTGTCTCTGTCTTACTGCCCATATCTTTCTGTTTCTCTCTGTTTCTGACTATCTGTTTGTGTCTGGGTCTCTATGTTTCTGTCTCTGTCTCTGTATTTCTCCAGTGCTTCTGTATCTGTATCTCTCCGTGTCTCTTTCTCCATCTGTCTGTCTTTGTCTTTCCCTTTCTGTCCCGATCTGTCTCTGTCTTTTCCCCCAGCGCTTCCCCCCGCCCAACCTTGTTTCTCTATGACTCTGTCTCCATCACTATCTCTATGTGTGTTGTCTTTCAGTGTGCCTCTGTCTTTCTCTGTCTCTCAGTCTGTCTGTCTCTGTCTTTCTATCTGTGTCAGTCAGCCTCTGCCTGTCTCCCTGTCTCTGTCTGCAACCATCGTTCTTTGCCTTAGTTTAAATGTGTGTCTGTTTGTCCCTGTCTGTGCCTGGATTCCTCTGCCTCCCTGTCTCTGTCTCCATCAATTTCTACCTGTCTCTGTCCGCCCCTTTCTGTGTATCCCTTTCTACCTGTCTCTACTGGGGAAGGAGGTATAATATCTGAGTCTGTCCATCTGTTGGGCTTTCTCAGCCTGCCTGACCAGCTATCTCTGTTTTTCTGTCAGGCTCTCTTGTCTCTGGCTGTTTCTGCATCTGGCTCTGTTGCATGTTTTGATAGTCCATCTCTGCTTCTGCCTGTCTTAAGGAGACAGGAATGAAATGTTACTACAGTTCGGTAGACAAACCCTCTTCTGTCATCTTCCCTTCCAGTGGTGTCCTGGAGATAGATGCCGTAAGAAGATAAGGTTAGCATTCGTGTGCAAAGACACAAGAGACTTAAATAAACAATGACTTATGAAGGAGAAAGCAGTGCCCCAGGGATGTAAGTGGGATGGACACAGGCAGCAGACCAGTGTAAATTATGCTACTGTGGAAAGGGTCTATATATAAACAGCACAAAGATGACATTGGAATTTTAATGAAAGATAAGGCATGTGCTGGAAAAAGAAAACCATCTTTTTAAGAGGAAAATCAAAAGAAGAGGGAGTGTCTAGCCACAAGGTCTACAGGAAGGTACTTGCCAAGTCTCAGCCACAGAATTTGGACATGAACCTGCCTGATGAGAGTTAAAATAGCAAAATTCACCTATTTTATATAAGCACATCACATAAGGTTAATCATGTGATTAAACTTAAACTTTTGAATTGGGGTCAGCAAACACACACACACATTGAAATAAGGGGATTGAAGCAGGGCCCAAGGTTCTTATGTCATCACCTGTTCAGCTAGTAACATGACTCCTAAGACACTCATATACATATATATACATTTATATTTTATGAGCCCACATGAGGTTCCACCCTTTCCTTGTCCACTCAGCTACCTGGGCCTTGATGCCCTTCCCTTTCTTCAAGATAGACCTCTTGAAAGGGGTGTGTCATCTGCCCCCTGTTCTAAGGTTTACTTGCTTGACTCCAGCCACCATCTATATGTCATAGACTCTCAAATTCATAGCCCATGCACAGACCTCTTCTTTGAATCCAGACCTATAGCCAACAGTCTGCCCCACCACTTGGAAATCTCAAAGGTGGTGCGATCTACAAAGGAACAAAATAGAACTTATGGTCCAGGCAACCAATTTTAATCTAAATGTAGCTTCCTTCCTCATTTGAGTAAATAAATAGAAAGACACTGATGCTGGTAAGGAGATAATAACCAGGATGTTAGCTGAAACTTATACTTCCTCAAGTGTTTGTGTTTCAGAAGTAAAATTTGTCTATTCATGACATTCTAAAGAAAGGTGGCAATTTTTTTTTCTAGTATGTAAGAGAACTGAAAGTTACCTCATTTATTTAGACAATAGCCAGCTGATACATGAACAGTCTTTGGGAATAATTTGTTCTAACAGTGCAGATGAAAGTTTGGTTTAGTCTGTGAACACATTTTCCATGTCAATTGCTATGATTAGATTCTTAGATCAGACACCAAAGGATAAATTTCACTCCACATTGTAGCAACATTCAACTATCAAACTTGGTTTAAAGCCTAGCCGGGTAATAAGATGCAGTGGATGGAACAAAAACTATCTGGGCAAATTCGAGGTAAGATTTGAATACCCAAAAGATCCTTAATTCTCTGAGAAGTATTCATCACATGAACACACTGCATTACATTGGTGATGTCTGTCAATTATTTAAAAAAATAAAAATAAAAATAGTACATGGTGATGGCAAAAATAGGAACCTACAAGCAGCTGATGGTTTTGATTAGCATGTTTGTAGTACATGGGATTTTATGAAGAATGATGACTCTAAGTGAATTAAAATCGTCCAAGCAGTCACAAAGAGCGTGTTTTGGGTGAAGGCGAGTGGCTGAGTATGGTCCACCACAGGTGAGGAGACTTCCTGTAGAGGTATATTCTTAAAACTGGTAGCCCCTAGTCATATGTGATTAGTTAAATTGATTAAAATTAAATAAAATTGAAAATTCAGTCTCTCAGTCTCACTAGCAGCATTTGAAGTGCTCAATGGCTACATGTAAGCCCGTGGCTACTATACTGTGTGCAGCA